ACAGTTAAAATAAATGTTTATCAAATAAAGTCTAATGTTACAACTAATCGGGATCCCTTTAAAGCTCATATCTCATCTGCTGGTCAAATTTTAGGACTGGGGCCGTGTCTTAATTCATGGGTTGCAGTCGATGTCGACAGCACTGTGTCACCTCACAACATTCTTCTCTCATACATAAGCAAGACCCCAAGATACTTAAACTCCTCCACTTGGGGCAGGCCCTCCTCCCTGACCCGGAGAAGGCACTCTACCCTTCTCTGGCTCAAGACCATGGTCTTAGATTTGGAGGCACTGATCCTCATCCCGGCCGCTTCACACTCGGTTGCGAACTGCTCCAGTGAGAGCTGGAGATCACGATCTGATGAAGCCAWTAGGACCACATCATCCACAAAAAGCAGAGATGTGATCCTAAGGTCACAAAAATGGATCCCCTCAACACCTTGGCTGCTCCTAGAAATTCTGTCCATAAAAGTTTTGAACAGAATCGGTGATAAAGGGCAACCTTGGCGGAGTCCAACTCTCACCGGAAACGAGTCTGACTTACTACCAGCAATGTGGACCAAGCTCTGACACCAGTCTTACAGGGACCTAACAGCCCGTATCAGTGGGCCTGGTACCCCATACTCCCAGAGTACCCCCCACAGGAGTCCCTGAGGGCCACGGTCGAACGCCTTCTCCAAGTCCACAAAACACATGTAGCAGGAACGTAAGAAAACAGTTCCACTCAAGAATTTTGAATTAATACTTCCTCCTCCTCCCATATCTATAGAGAACAATGGCTTTCTCCACGGTCCTCACCCTTTTTCTCCACTGTCTACAAATGCTAAAATAAACAGGAACTGCAACCTTCAATTGATTAAGACCTGTTGTGAGATCCCTTTTAAGTGTTCAAAATGGCCGTTTATAACAAAGGACCAAGCATTTGCCCASACGGAAAGTCTCCAGAAGTGGGTTTACAATCTACATCTAGACCCTAAGAGACTGTGTCCCCTGCTGAGATGATGCCCACGAACTATCTTCAAAGACATGCCTAACATACAATCTCATTTATGGTCTTAGAGCGCCCCCAAAAGGCTGGTCTCATAATCACATCATGAGCAAATGTTTGGGTAAATTTCTGTTGTTTGGTTGTCTGATAAAAAAAAATGAAGAAAAAGAAACTATGTATTTTTCTGTCATGACTCAATCAC